GCCATGCCCTTCATCCAATCCATCCATCCATCCATCCACCCATCCCGCCAGGCCTCGCTCCCCGCAGTGCCGTCGGCTCAGGCTGCCCAAGCAGCTCCCCAGGCTCCCCAGAAAGCCAGACAAGAAGGTATAAGAGAAGGAAAGAAATGAGTTTTTTCCAGGGAGAGACTGCAAAGCATCAGCTAAACCCAAAGCAAGGGAAGCTGCAGCCTTGGGAGCTCACATACATCGTCCTTCATGTGCTCTTTCGGGGGTCTGAACTCCTCGTGGTACGAGCGGCCACTCGCTGGGTGAATCAGCCTGAGACAGAAAAGAAGTGTCAGCAAAGCAGCTGCTCAGAACAAGATCTCCTGAACCTGCCACTCATCAGCACAGAAGCATCTGCCACAGCAACACCATGAGCCTTTCACTTGTAAGAAAACTCTCTTCAGTTATTTCTGTACCAAGGGCCTCTTCAGTTTGGAAAAGCAGCTGTGCTGGGAGATGGAGAAGGGGAGCTTTACATCCTGCTCTGTTGGGAAAGGGGTCTGGAAAACAGTGCAAGAGAACACACTCCTGACCCTGGAGGAAGTTTACTGGTGCCCAGATGCATTCAGTGTCCTGGGTAAGGCAGCAATAACAGTTTTGGAGAAGGAGGGACTTACAGAGTGAGCTGAGATTTCCTATAGAAATCCCTGATTTCTAGGGCAAGGAAGGTGCTCTGCTCAAGGCTGGCCCAGGCACAGAGCAGAAACAGAGACCAGCAGCACAGGCAGCCTTAAGCACCACAAGGACAACCTGGGATCTGAAATGAGGATGCTCTTCCATGGACTAGGAAATGCCAGGCCATGCACTGGGCCCGGGGAGAGGAGGATTACCGTCCCGTGATCCTCCGGATCAGCAAGGAGTCGGGGATGCTGAACTCAATGACGGAGTCGAGCTTCTCCCTCCTCTTCTCCAGGAGCTCATCCAGCTGCAACAGCAAACAGCCACCTCAGAGAGGCTGGGGAGCAGGGAGCCCTGGGTTTGAGGGAGGGGGTGCTGGAGCAGGGGCTCCCATACCATCTCTGCCTGTTTCACTGTGCGTGGGAAGCCGTCCAGGAGGAAGCCGTTCTTGCAGGGAGGGGAGTCCAGGTTGTTCTCAATCAGCTCCACCACCATCTCATCACTCACCTGCAGAGATGAGACAGGGACGTTGGCAGGAAGGACACCCTGAATTTACACACGGCTGCTGCCCATCTGACAGGGTGGGATTTTTAGAGCTGTCCTGTGCAGGGCAAGGGTTGGGCTCAATAACTGTTGTGCATCCCTTCTAATCCTTGTGTGTCAGGATATTCTGTGATTCCGTAATTCGTGTCAACGCTCAGGCTGCCTGTTCAGACCTGCCCACATCAGGGCAGCACTCCCTGCAACACCAGGGCATAGGCAATGCCACATTTCACTCCAGGGACACTCCAGCCTCCGCAGGGACTTGGAGCAGCACTGTAACCTCACTGTTACAAAGGTTGCTGTATTGCAAGGAAGGCTGACAGCTCAACTCCTCAGATTATTATTTTTTTTAACCAATTCACAATACAAAGTATCAACACAAGCTTGATTTCCTGTTACTTTGTACCTTCACCTACACATCCAACTCAGGAGGCAGGCCTGGGCAGGAAGGGCAGAGCAGGCGAGTTGCTCATTGACTCCCATAAACCTCATGGGAAGGTAAAAACCCAAGAGCTGCTGACAAGCTCTGGCTTCACTGGATAGTTTTTCCCCATCTAACACTCTCAGCATTCCACTGGGATTAGTGCCTTTCCCACACTGCAGCACTCACAGATGCTGCAGCCCCAACAATAGCTGCTTCTTTGGGAGCAGCTCTCCTCAGCAGAGCTGTTTTCTCCAGCACACACAGCTGGGACCCTGCAGGATTGGGCACCAGGCTGTCACAAGGCACAAACAACCCTGCAGGCAGGGGAAGGAAACAACAAGTCACTTCTGTGCCTTCCTGATCACAGCCTTTGGAGGAAAAAAGATCCTGAGCATAAAGGCCATGCTGAAATTCTGCGTGCTCCCAGCCGAGTTATCAGAGCTGTGGGATGTGCCCGTGGAGCAGCCTGGAGCTGCCTGCCACACACAAACACACGTGGCACACACCACCAGCCTGGCCAGATAACGTCCCTATCTTTCATAACCAGCTGGGTATTGCAGGCTCGGTGTTGCAATGAGCTCTGAGCAGAAGGGAGATAAGGCTGCTCTCCCCATCTGGGGCCTGCAGATTCTCCCCGGGGTGTTACGAGCCCGTGGCAGCCACAGGGATGCCCAGACCTGCCCCACACTGGGGCAAGTCACTGCAATTTGTGGTCCCTCGAGTTTCCCTGAGATATTTCAGTCGCTAGGATGAGATAATGAGACCCTCAGAAAATGAATGTCAGAGATTCTAACTCATGTCCCTTGAGAATCCAAAGTGTCTCTCTTACACAGCAGCTGCTCTAACTACCACAGCAACATCTTTAGGTCTATTTTCACCCATTTTCACCTCACAGTTACAGGTGAATCGAGCTTCTGCAAGAGCTGGGATGTAGATGAACCCTCTGAAGTGATACCTGGAGCTCAGGTATCAAGTGAAGAGACACAGGAGCCACAAAGCACGGCTGTAACATCCTGCAGCTCCAGGGATACACTGTGACCTCAGTGTTCAGGAGCCAGAAAATTACAGCCAGAAAATTACCAGCCAGAAAATTACCAGCCAGACTGCACCCCCTAAAAGATAAAAACAACCCAGGGCCACAGGCTGCTGGTAAGCAAACAGTAATTTTGAAGAGGAATGATGTTTGTATAGGATGCTTCTCCTGCAGGGTGACAGAAGGAAAGCCCCCACCCCGTCCCTACCTTCACCCTGCAATCTGCATTCCTACACTAATTAGAGAGTTCTAATTAGGAGATGGATTTTGTCTGCTCCCATTCCAGATGCTGCCAGCCCGCGTCCCCTCCCAGCCCGCTCCCCGTGACCCACCAGCTTCCCCGAATCCATCGTCTCCTTGAGGCGCTTGCCCAGCTCGGAGCCCGAGGCCACCATGGCCCGCAGCATGTCGCCGGTAGCCAGGTGGCACACGCAGTAGGTCTCGGCCAGCTTCGGGGCCTGCGGGAGAGGACAGAGGTGAGCGCGGCCTGGCGGGCGGAGGATGCCCGGCCCGCCGGGGCCCCGTCCCCGTGTCGCGACCGGCCAGCACGTGGCAGGGCCCGGCACGGAGCCACGCCGGCTCCGGGACAAAGGGACCGGCGACAAAGGGGGCCCCTGGGGCGGGACACGGCCGAGCGGCCGCGGGAGGGCGAGCCGGGGCCGCGCCGGCACCGCGCACCCCGCTCCCTCACGGGCCGCCCGAGGCCGGACACCCGCGCCGCTGCGCCGCCGACTACGCGCCCGCCCGCGCCTCGTGGGCGGGGCCAGCGCCGCCGGGCGGGGCCATGCAAATCAGGGGCGGCGATATGCAAACTCACGGCGTGTTTAACATAGAGTGGGCGGGGTTGTGAGGGGGTGGGCGTGGCTATGCGGTGTGGGCGGGGCTCGGTGTGCGCTGGTGTCGCCGCTCTTGTCCCTCGCTGTCCCCAGTCCTGGCACCGCTGGGGCTCTGGGTCACCCCGCCCAGGAGGACACTGGGCTGCTGGGCACGGCCAGAGGAGGCTGGAGCACCAGTCTGATGGGAGCGGCTGGGGGAGCCGGGGGCTGAGCCGGGAGGAAAGGAGGTTCAGGGAGCTGGGGGCTGAGCCAGGAGAAAAGGAGGTTCAGGGAGCTGATCCAGGACAAAAGGAGGTTCAGGGGTGACCTTTTCTCTCTGCATTTACCTGGAAGGAGTTTGGAGCCAGGCGGGGCAGGGCTTGCCTCCCAGGCAGCCTGTGGCAGGGCAAGAGGACACAGTGTTAAGCCACGCAAGGGGACAAGGTTGGATATTAGGAAGAATTTCTTCACAGGAAGATTAGACATTGGAACAGACTGCCCAGAGAGTGGAGTCACCACCCTTGAAGTGTTTAAGGAAGGACAGGATGTGGCACTTGGTGCTGTGGGCCAGTTCACACAGTGGTGTCTGGTCAGAACTGGACTTTGTGATCCCAGAGATCTTTTCCAGCCTAATTGGTGCTGTGATTCTGAGCTGTGGGATGGGCTCAGTGCCCTGCTCTGCGCGGGCTGTGCATCACAGCACTGCCCAGCACACCCAGGAGGGGCTGGCACTGCAGGGCTCTGCAGCTCTGTTCTCCCAGCCGTTCTGCATGGCCCCCACATCCCACACTGCACAGTCCAGCACTGGTGATGGGCCAGAGCACAGCAAAACCAGGCAGGATCTCACAGCAGACAGAGCTCCCTGGCCCTGGTTGCCAGGAGAGTCTGAGGCAAAGCCAAGACCACAGTGTTGAACAGAGAAACCCAGGACAAGCTGGTCCTTCTCACTCCCCCCTCAGTGGGGACAGCCACCCCTCCACAGCCAATATTGGCCCTCAGCAGCACCAGAGAGACCTGCACATTTAACAAGAGCTAAAAATTCCCTGCTGAGCCCGTCCTGTCTGCGGGATGAAGCAGTGGCAGCCAAGGTCCAGCTTCCTCAGCAGCACCAGGGAGACCTGCACATTTAACAAGTTAAAAATTCCCTGCTGAGCCCGCCCTGTCTGCGGGATGAAGCAGTGGCAGCCAAGGTCCAGCTCTCGGGGGTCACACAGGGCATCTGCACCGACGGGTCTGCCTCGGGGCACCCACCGAAGCCAGCGGCAGCAGGGCAAGGGCAGGATCGCTCCCTGCCGCCTTCCCAGCCACCTCCCGCCCCGCGCAGGGCCAGCCAAGCCCCGCTCAGCCCTGAATCCCCAGGAATTTGGGGCTCTCCGCCCCGAGGGTCCCCGTGCCGGGCTGCGATGAGCTGCGGGGACTCGGAGAGAGCCCGGGGTGGCTGCAGAGGACAGCCCCAGCCTCGGGGGAGGGCGGGCGAGGAGGGGGAGCCTTCTCCAAAAGGGATGAAGGATGCTCGGAGGCGGCTCAGCCAATGGCGTGGCCGGGTTTGGTTGCCATGGCCACGGTTGGGAGGCAGCGCCGGGAGGGAAGGGGCGCGGAGCCCCCCCATCCTCTGCGGGGCTCGGGGCAGAACAAACAGCCCGTTCGTCCTCCTGGGAGAGCCATGGCACCACCTGTTTAAATGCTTTCCGAGGTGAGGAGGCTTTGGGGGGCTCTGGGGGAGCTGCTTGGCCTGGCACAGTGAGAAGGGAGCTGCGGGGTGCCTGTGCTGGCTCGTTTAGGGACGGGGGTGGAGGGCATTGTGCTGGCAGTGCCCCTCTCCCTCTCTAAACCCCTGCACTGCTTCTCCCCAGAGCCCCCAGACCCTGGGGCTGCTGCAGGAGCTCAGCGTTCCTCGGGGAGCCCCCTGAGAGCACCCCAGGGCACCTGCAGGGACAGCTGGGCCGTGGGAAGGAGGGCATGTCCGAGCTGTGACAGGAGCGACCCGTTTAACCCCTTCTGTGCCCCACCGGGGTGGGCTGGCTGCTGTTTGGTGATGGGGACTGAAGGGTAAAGCTGCAGGAATTGCTCTCCTTTCTTGCTTATGAAGCTCTAAGAGCTTCAAAATGTGTTTTTCCATCCCATTCCCGTCTCTGGAATTGGCTGGTGGTGCTTGCTCGATGCATTACAACATCCTGCTGCTCGTGGTCTTTCTCCCAGTGCCCCTGGAATGCTGTCAGGAGGTCTCTGTGGGGAGGAGGGGTGTGCAGCTCTGAGAAATGAAACCTCTGCCTGCTGCTCACTTCAAATCAGAGACCACGCTCCTGGGAGAGCCCTGGAGCTAGACCTGCATTATTGGAGTGGAAATGTTCCCTGCTAGCTCATCGGCTGCCCGGGTTATGTGCCAGGCTGGATCCAGGGCAGGAGATTGTTAAAGCTCAGGGTGTGAGCTCAAAGCTAAAGCTCTGCCAGGATGAGCCAGAAAACTCCAACTGTCCCCTTGTCCCGCAGCCTGTGTCACAGGACAGCCGTGGAACTGCACCCACAGCAGGGATCTGAGGCTGGATGGTGACAGTGAGTGCCCTGTGCTGTGTCTCCCTTGCCCTGGGGCTTTCCCCGGGGTCCAGGAGCCCTCAGCTCTGTGGGATCCATATGTGGGATCCATCAGGGATCAGCATCAGCAGATCCAGCTGCATTCCAGGGCCTGAAGGGGCCTGGCCTGGCCTGGAAAAGCATCTCTGCTCCTTGTGGTGCAGTTGGCTTTGTTGTTGACTGTGCTGATGGAGACGAGGCTGCTGTGTGCCAAAACAGAGCTCTGAACTGCAGAGAAATGTGTCTCCTCCCCCAGGGAAGGTGCTGAGCTGCTGGTTTGGAGCAGAGCAGCACCGAGCTCTGCCCTGGGCTGTGGGACGGCTGGTCCATGCTGATGGAGCTTCTGGAGCCTTCCTCTGAATACTCCTTTCCTTTTCACAGCGTGTCTCGTCCTTAGAATCCATCCCCTGCTCCAGGAGGCTTTAAAGGGGCATCCCCACACCCAGAGCACCACACCATGAACGGCTACTTGAACGAGTCCAATTTCCTGCTGGTGGAGGAGGGCTTCACCACCAGAGACCTCCTGGAGAACCTCCTGGGGGAGCAGTGCCAGGAGGTGAGGGCTGCTGCTCTGCTGCTGCTGCTGCTCTGGGAAAGGCTCTCCTGGAGCTGCTGCTCACTGCGGTGTCTCCTAGAGCCAGCAGCAGGCCTTCTTCGTGGCAGACCTCGGGGACATTGTGAAGAAGCACCTGCGTTTCCTGAAGGCCTTGCCCCGGGTGAAGCCCTATTTCCCAGTCAAATGCAACGGCAGCGAGGGGGTGATCAGGCTGCTGGCAGAGCTGGGGGCAGGGTTTGCCTGTGCCAACAAGGTAGGGCCGTGGGAGGACAGCTCCAGGGGAGATGTTTGTGGGGGAGTGGCAGAGCTCACCCTCCTTGCCTGAGGCTCTGCTCTAGGTGACATTGGCAGGGGCAGGAGTGTCCCTGTGCTGTCACAGCCCAGAATTCCTTGTCCCATCTGTGTTGTCCCCTTTGGCTGGCGTTCCTGTCCCCGGAGCTGCTGTCCTGGCTGGTGGCACAGCACACCCCTGGGGTGTCACTGCCACTGCTGTCCAATTCTCGGTGTCCTCGGGGCTGAGCCTAAAGCTTTTTGCTCCCTCCTGCTTGTCATTTGCAGCAGCCCGACTTCCAGGGAGGAGGCAAAATTAAATCAATTACTTTCATGTAATTAAATAGGACGAGAAAGGGCAAAAGCAGAGAGGGCAAAGAGTGAGCCCCAGGCCTGCTAGCCCCACTTGTCTCCTCTCCCATTCTCTGGTGTTTTTAACCCTGTCCATGCCAGGACAAAGTGCACTGTGACCCCTTGGAGCTCTGGCAGCTTTTCCCTGGAGCAGCCCAGGCTGCAGCGCTGGCGCTGCGCCCCCCTCAGCCCTGCCAGCTGCCAAGACCCAGAGCTGGTGGCTGCTCCCCACCCGGCTCTGGGGGGACCTGCTGCACTGTGCCCTTCTCCCTGCAGGCAGAGATCAGCCGGGTTCAGGGCATTGGGGTCCCAGCAGACAGGATCTTCTTCAGCAGCCCCTGCAAGCAGGTGGCCCACATCAGGCACGCAGCCACGCGCGGGGTCCGGCTGATGGCCTTTGACAACGAGGTGGAGCTGAGCAAGGTGGCCAGGAGCCACCCCCGGGCCAGGTGGGTGTCTGGGGTGCCACTGGAGGAGGGCGTGGGCAGGGGGCTCTGGGGGGCAAGAGGAGGGGGTACAAGGTGGGTTCGGTCTCTTCCCCCAGGTGGTGGCAAAGAGGAGCTGCCTCAAGCTGTGCCAGGGGAAGTTTGGGTTGGATACAGGGAAAAGTTTGATCACTGAAGGGGTGACCAGGCTGCCCGGGGAAGGGGTGGAATCACATCTCTGAAAACATTAAAAACACTTGTGGGTGTGGTGCTCAGGGACGTGGTTTAGTGCTGGGCTTCACAGTTGGGGCTAATATTTGGACTCTGTGATCTCTGAGGGCTTCTCCAGCCCTCAGAGGCTTTTCCTTTCACGGTCCTGTCATTCCAAGACCCCTCACACAGCGTGCCCTTGCCGTGCAGGATGCTGCTGGGGATCTCTGCTGACCCCATCCCCGCTGCCCAGCCGAGCATGGCCTTTGGGAGCACGCTGCAATGCTGCCGTCAGCTGCTGGAGACAGCCAAGGACCAGGCTGTGGAGGTTGTGGGCATCAGGTACAGCCCTGGCCTTCCTCCCTAGGGGTGCCAGCCCCTCTGCACCGGGCTCTGGGGAGCTCTGCCCTGGCAGGGAGCTGAGGGCAGGATTTGGGCTGGTTGGGGCCAATTTGGGGCAGGTTGCACCCTAGGAAAGGCTCTGTGGGGGGAGCTGTGTGAGTGACACCCCCAGCGCTGTGTCCCCTCTGCTCTGGGGGTGCTCAGACCCCGCTGAGATGGGGTCTGTGCCCTCAGCTTCCACCTGGGGAGCCGTGGGCTGGAGCCCCAGGCCTGGCCCCAGGCCGTGGCCACAGCACAGCTGGTGTGTGACATGGGCACGGAGCTGGGGCACCACATGCACCTCCTGGACATCGGGGGGGGGTTCCCTGCCACCGAGGACGCCAGAGCCCCGCTGGAAGAGGTACCTTCAACCTCCCTCAAACCTGCAGCACCTGCCCCAGCAGCAGGCAACGAGCTTGGGAGCTCCCCCGGGTCTGGCTCTCTGCAGAGCTCCCTCCTCACCAAGAGGAAGGTTCTTTTCCTTCCCCCACAGATTGCTGCTGGGATAAACTCTGCCCTGGATTTGTACTTCCCCGAGGGCAGTGGGGTGGACATTATTGCCAGGCCTGGGCGTTACTACGTCACCTCTGCCTTCACCTTGGCTGTCAGCATCACTGCCCTGGAGGAGATCCCGGTGGAGCAGCCTGGCTCTGACGGTGGGTGTGACAGCAGGCTGTGTCCCCTGGGTCCCTGAGCCCTGTCCCCACTCTCTGATGTGTCCTCTGAGTCCCTGAGCCCCCCGAGCCCTGTCCCCACTCCCTGATGTGTCCCCTCTGTCCCTGAACTCTCTCCCTGTTCCCCCTGTGTCCCTGAGCCCTCTCCCTGTTCCCCAAGGTGTCCCCTGTGTCCCTGAGCCCCCCGAGCCCTGTCCCCACTCCCCAACATGTCCCCTGTGTCCCTGAGCCCTCTCCCCACTCCCCAGCATGTCCCCTGTGTCCCTGAGCCCCCCGAGCCCTGTCCCCACTCCCTGATGTGTCCCCTCTGTCCCTGAACTCTCTCCCTGTTCCCCAATGTGTCCCCTGGGTCCCTGTGTCCCTGAGCCCTCTCCCCACTCCCCAGCATGTCCCCTGTGTCCCTGAGCCCCCTGAGCCCTGTCCCCCGTCCCTTCCAGAGGAAGAGTGTGACAAGAAGAGCCTGGTCTATCACCTCAGCGATGGCATCTACGGGGCCTTCAGCTGCCTCCTGTTCGACAGCCCCTGCCCCCGGCCCCAGCTGCCCAAGGTGAGGGCTCAGCTGGCCTGGCGTGCCCCTCCCTCTGGGCCAGCAGCTCCCTGCCCCGGGGACCTGGGGCAGCCAGCACTACGTCCCGGGGTTCAGTTTGGGGGTGGCTGTGCCCCGGGACACGGGACAGACCCATGGGAGGGGGATAGCCAGCCACGTGATGTAAACTATTCATGGCCATACAAAGAATATTCAGTGCAAATCTGCGAGTGGCAGAGCCCAGGGTGTCCCCCTGAAGGTCCTGCGTGATCCAAGCCCCAGGAGGGGGGTTTGGAGACCCTGGCAGGGGGTTTGGAGCCCTGGCATGCAGCCAAAGACCCCTGGGGCTTTGAGCTCACCAAATGACCACCTTTGGATGAAGAATTGAAGGTCACAAAAGTTTAGATAGCATAACAGTGGTTGTCACAGGGTGAAAGGTGGAGTTTTGAAGGATTTTACTGTGGGGGCAAAATGGAGGGATCTGGGCATTGTCCTGCCATTCTTCCTTCTTCTTCCCAGCCTCCATCTTCTTGGTGCTGGTGGCATTTGGGATTGGGGTAGGGTAGAAAGTCACAGCCTAACACAGGTGATGGGTGTTGGGACATAACTGCAAATATCAAACACTTCGTTTATAGCATAAAAGACAACTCCAGCCCTGTGGGAGGGCAGTGTGCCTCAGACTGACAGAAGGCAGGCCAGACAGAAAACATTTTAGATAAAAAATAATAACCTTGAGAGCACGAGCCGAAGACTCCTGATCTCTTCTTCGACAGCTGGGTTGGGGAAAAGAGACTTTTAACACACCTCAACCAGAGGGAATCTCAAACAAAACAAGTAAAGAAGTATTTAGTGCGTTATAACGCCCGTGCTGTGCTCTTGCTGCAGAGAGCCTGCCCCGAGCAGCCGTGGCACAGCAGCAGCCTGCGGGGGCCCGGCGAGGACGGCATCGCCGAGGGGCTGCGGCTGCCCCGGCTGCGCGTGGGGGACTGGCTGCTCTTCGGGGACATGGGGGCCTACAGCCTGCCCGCCGCTGCTCCCCGGGCACGCGTCACCTGCGCCATGTCCCGCCTGGCCTGGTAAGGGGCAGCGCCCGGGGCTCCCGGGGGGCCGGCTTCTCCTCCCCTGGGGTTACTTAAAGGAGACAGGGAGATCTGAGAGCCAGAACCATTTTGCCCAGAGGCAAAAATGCTATTTTTGAATATTTTATCAAACTCGAGGCGGTGTTTCAGCGGAGAAGAGGGAGCCAGCTCAGCCCTGGCTGTCACTCCAGGGGACAGGAGAGCCCTGGCGTGTCCCCATCCCGTTCCCAAGGGGCTGCCCCTGCCCCCGGCTCCCCCTCGGCTGTCTCCCCTCGCAGGAAAGCCATCCAGCTCTTCCAGGGAAAGGCACCCCAGGCAGAAGAGGACCGTGAGAGCCTCTGCACGCCCCTGTCCTGCGGCTGGGAGATGGCAGAGACACTTTGTGTCACCCCTGTCTTCGCTCCAGCTGGCATCATCTGAGCAGCTCCGGGCCAGGAGCCGCGGTGGGAAAGGTCCCGTGCTGGTACTGGCAGGGGAAATGTCCCAGAGTGGTGTTGGGGTGGGGAAAACCCCATGCAGAACCAGGGAAAATGTCCCAGAGTGGTGTTGGGGTGGGGAAACCCCCATGCAGAACCAGGGGAAATGTCCCAAAGTGGTGTTGGGGTGGGAAAAATCCCATGCAGAACCAGGGGAAATGTCCCATAATGTTTTGGGGTGGGAAAATCCCATGGCAGCAGCAGGGGAAATGTCCCATGATGATTTTGGGGTGGGACAAATCCCATGGCAGCAAATGCAGAACCAGGGGAAATGTCCCATAATCTTTTGGGGTGGGACAAATCCCATGGCAGCACTGGGGGAAATATCCAGGAGGGATAAAAATCCTACAGCAGGAAAAGTGGGGTTTTTACACCCTAAAAATCCACAGTGGGAAAAGTCCCCTCCGGTACCAGAAGAGAGAGGTGCTGTGGTGGCACCAGAGGGGGAAGGGATCCCAGGGCAGTGCCAGGGAGGGGGAGATGCCACCCTGCCTCTGGCATTGCCCCCCTCTGCTCTCATGGGCTTGGCAGTAAATGCTGTCCCATAAACCCTGCAGTGTGTGTGCCTTCCACAGGGCTGGGCAGCTTTGGGCTCTGCTTTGGGGCTGCTGGGGCCACTGGTTGGGGCTGGGGTCACTGGTTTGGGCTGGGGTCACTGGTTTAGTGCTGGGATCACTGGTTTGGGCTGGGGTCACTGGTTTGGGCTGGTTTTGGGACTGGTGGGGTCACTGGCAGCCCAGCGTGGCTCCAGGGGTTGGGTGAGGAAGCCCCTGGTCCTTCCCACCCTGTGCCAGGAACTGGGAGCACTGGGAGGGCACTGGGAGGACACTGGGAAGGCACTGGGAGCCCTGGGAGGGCACTGGGAGGGCACTGGGAGCACTGCGAGGGTACTGGGAGCCCTGGGAGGGCACTGCGAGGGTACTGGGAGCCCTGGGAGGGCACTGGGAGGGCACTGGGAGCACTGCGAGGGTACTGGGAGCCCTGGGAGGGCACTGCGAGGGTACTGGGAGCCCTGGGAGGGCACTGGGGGCACTGGGATGTAGGGCACTGGGGGCACTGCGAGGGCACTGGGAGGGCACTGGGAGGGCACTACGAGGGCACTGGGGGCACTGCGAGGGCACTGGGAAGGCACTGGGGGCACTGGGAGTGCTGGGAGGGCACTGGGAGCACTGGGAGGGCACTGGGCGCACTGGGAGCACCGCGGCCGCCAGGGGGCGCTGGGGCGCGGCGTGCAGCGAGTCCTCCGCCCCGCCAGGGGGCGCTAGAACAGCGGCGGGGGCGGCGCCGTTCTCTCCGTGACCCCGGCAGCCGTAGGGCGCGGCGGTGTCGCGCAGGGCCGGTGAAGGACGGCGGCGGGCCCGTGAGGGCGGCGGCGGTGCCGGCGGTGCCACAGCGGCCGCGTCGCGGCGGGAGCGCAGCCATGCCGTTCTGGGGCCTGCAGAAGCAGCTGGGCATCGACGTGGACAGCTTCCTGCTGCGGCAGAGCATGCCGCAGCCGCACGGCCAGGCCGCGGCCTGCCACGCCTTCGAGCGCGAGTGGGTGGAGTGCGGGCACGGGCTGGGCCAGACCCGCGCCCGGCGCGAGTGCCAGCTCGAGTACGAGGATTTCATGGAGTGCATGCAGCGCACCAAGCTGGTGGGTGAGCGGGGGGTCCGCACCAGGGCCGGGCTGGGGGAGCCGAGGCGCTGGGGAGGGGGCACAGGGGGTCTGGGGGCTCCAGCGCGGGGTGGGAGCGCTGCCTGCTCCTCCCCAGCCCGAGCGGGCTCCGGCCCCGCAGCAGCCCCTTGCCCCGGGCTGGGGGGGCTGCGGGAGCCCGGGCAGGCTGCGGCTGCCCCGCTCCTGGGCGGGCTCCGGGCCGGCCCGGGGCTCGGGAGGGGTCCTGCCCACGGGGGTGGGGCTGGGTGGGCGTTCAGCGCCCTCCCAATCGAAGCGTTCCGTGTTTTGGGGCAGACCTTTGTCCCTGCCCCCGGCAGCATCCACATCCGGGACAAAATCCTGCTCAGAAAACGGGGCTGCAAACCCAGATCGCATCAGTACAGAACGTCCTGAAAGCCCCAGAAACCTTTGGGAAGAGCCTCAGGCTCGAGCGAGGAGCCCCAGGGCGGGGTTGGTGTGGGCTCCACCCCTGTGAGACCCCCCGGGACCCCCTGAGACCCCCCTGAGACCCCCCTAGGACCCCCCTGAGCCTCCCTGTGTCCCTGGCAGACCCAGCGGCTCCGGACCATCTTGGAGCAGCGGGACAGGATGATCAAGCAGGGGAAGTACACACCCCCCGAGCACCACATGGGCAAGGAGGAGCCCAGGCCGTGACTCCCTCCGCAGTTCCTGCCTCCCGAAGAGACCCCGCGGAGCCGGGGGCGGGGGCCCCGCTGTGGCCGGAGGGGCTGGGCGGTACTGGGGCAGTAAACACCCTTTGGAATGGCTCCCTGCCTCTGCCTTGTGTCTTTTTTTGGGGTGGAACGCCTCTTTTCCACGCTGATTCACGGTGGGGTGGATGGATTTGGGATCTCTGCTGGCTCTTCAGTGTGTGGGGGGCGGATTTCCCCCCTGGGGGGTGAAATCCCAGGTGCCAGCAGGATCTGGGGGTTTATCCCTCCCAAGGAGAGTTTTCCCTTCCGTTCCCTCAGCTTTGAGCAGCACTGGAGCAGGAGGGAGGCCCTGGGAGAGGAGAGGGGCCAGCTCTGTGCTTTAACCCCTGTGTTAAGCTGTGAAAGTGGGCAAGGAGGAGCTCGGGGAGGGAAACCAGGGAAAATATGGAAAAGGGTGGAAAGGGGACAGGGAATGGCTGCATGTGGAAGCTGAAGCTCCCCAGGGCCAGTCCCTGGAAATTTGGGAAGTGCAGCCAGCCAGGAGCCTCCACATTGCAGTCGCTCATTATGGATGCTGATTAATTATCATCAATTATCTTTCCCGAAGAGATGTGCGCTGGGGGAGGAGCGCAGAGAGGATTTGGGGATGACTTTTCCTGGTGGAGGCTTTGCCAGTGGCATCACAGCTTCCCCCAAGCTGGGTGTGAGGGCTGCTGGCACCCAGCGCCAGCAGCAGCACGGGCCAGTGCTCCAGGAACGGATTTTGGGGGAAAAAACCCTGTTTTGATGAGAAGTGCTGCTTTTCCAGGGAGAGGAAGGAAGAAAAGCCAGGCTCAGCAAAAAGCCTGGCAGCTCCACGCTGGTGTGGAGAGTGACTCATGCCGTGGAGAAGAGCAGGGGAAATGTTGGGAGGCATCTGAGCTCTGCTGGCCCCCCAGGGGCTCTTTAGGTCCCTTCAAAATCAAATTGTGCAGCCACGCCAGCAGGATCCATCGGCTGCAGTTAAAAGCTCTGTCAGGAATTCCACCAATAAAGGGAATAATCAAAGACCCGATGAAAACAATCATATTTATGGAGGGATTAAAATAAAACCACGTCCCAGCTCTGCAGGGAGGAGACGAGGCCGAGGCTCTGGCTGAGCAGCAGGGATCGAAAATGGATCCAGTGCTCCTGACCAAACTCCCCGGGGCAAAGGGGTTTGGAGCATCCTCAGCTCCACACTGTGGCTCACCACGGAGCCTGAGCAGGATCCATATCCAGCCTCTAGTGGTTCCAATTTTATATTTTGCTCTTTGCCTTTTTTGTCGCTGTTTTGGCACAGGGTGGTGCCACGTCCCAGCTGGGGGGAGGCACCAGGGCTGGCATGGGGTGGGAGATCCCCGTGGGGAGCTGCTGCTGCCATGGGCACGGCCTGGGCTGGGCAGGAGCTGGTGAGGGCAGAGCACCATCCCTCCCCCAGCCCCTCATTCCCATCTTCCTACAACCCTGAGCCCCCAGGATTGGGAACTGGGGGCTGGGATGGGGGTGAGCCCCACCTCCTGCAGCTCCACAGCCCTGGGTGTGCTGTGCATCGTCTGCCCCCTGAGCCCCCAGGATTGGCAGCTGGGGGCTGGGATGGGGGTGAGCCCCCACCTCCTGCAGCTCCACAGCCCTGGGTGTGCTGTGCATCGTCTGCAGCTCCTCTCTGCCTCGGGAACGGGCAACAAACAACTCCCAGGAGATGAATAATTTATCAAAAGTCAAGGGGAAAGGCAGATTTCAGCCCTGGGCTTGGGCAGAAGGTTTTAATGAGGGAGAGGGGACCATTCTTGGGGCAGAGCCGGGTTCTGGCTGATTGGCACCCGGAGACATCTCCCTGCATCCCTGTGGATGTCCAAGGTCTCGGCACTCAGGGTCCCAGGGGCCCCCTCAGTCCTGCTGAGCAGCACAGGAGCAGGGAAACGAAACGATGTAGGGAGGACCTGCCTCCCCCTTCCGCCCAAAATAACGATTCCCTGTCTCCACGCCGGCAAAACAACGCCCGAGCCTAACCCAGATTCGCGGCACAAATAACCCAGCAGCTCCCGGCGCTGCGGGGCATTGCGGGAAGCACATCCCGGGCTGGGGCAGCGCCGTGTGCCAGCCTCCCGCTCCGCCGGGGCTCAGCAGGCTGCAGTCGGGCAGGGCGGAGCTGGAGCCCGGCTGGTGGCACAGGGGGTGACAGAGGCACGGGGTGACACGCGGGGTGACAGAGGCACGGGGTGACACGCGGGGTGACAAAGGCACGGGGTGACACGCGGGGTGACAGAGGCACCTGGTGACACGCGGGGTGACAAAGGGCACGCCAGCACCGCGCCTCCCGCACAGCCGTGCCCGGTCACCGGGGCGGTCACCAGGGGTGAGCGAGGCAGTCACGGCGTCCCCCGGCGTGTGCCCGGGGCCGGGCCGGGCTCCGGGGGCCGGCGGCGCTGCAGGGGCGCGGCTGAGCCGCCCAACCCGTCCGGGAGCTTTGGGAGCTGCGGCCGCGTCTGCCTCTCCGGGCGCTGCCCGCCCTCCTCCCAGGGCCGCCGGCTCGGCCGGGGTGAGCCTCCCCTGCTCCTCTCTCACGGCTTTGGGGTGCCCCATAATGCTGGGAACCACAGCCCCCGCCGAGTGTGTTTGTCCAGCAGGGTACGGAGCTGGCTGCCTGCTCCAGGGGCGTGCACAGAAAGCAGTGTTGGTGGCACCAGGGTGATGGCCCTGTCGCTGTCACCGTGGTTGGGGTGGTGGCACTGGTGCCAGCCCACCAGCACACCCTTTTCCAGTACACCCTTTACCCTGCCCCGAGTTCCCCAGCACCGGTCTGGCCTGGCTGCGGCCCGTGAGGGTTCCCAGCTCCCAGAACTCATTCCCAGCTCCCAGAACTCATTCCCTGCTGGAGTTCCTGTCCTCGAGGCCTTGCCCCTGCCTCTGTGGGGTCACCCCACTGCTGTGTCCGCACCCGGGCGGGTTTTGGCCGAGTGCTTCCTCCCCATGCCTGCATCCCAGCGGGCAGGGCCGCAGGGCAGCACGTGCTCCTCCAGCCACGTCCCAAGCCGCGTCCAGGAGCAGTTGTCACCACACCCCACGCCCTGTGTCCTGCCCTGTGTCCTGCACCTCGTCCCACCCCATCGCGCTGGAAGCGCTCAGGAAAACACACACACCGGGGGAGCACAACCGTTGGGATGAGATCTGAAAACCGGCGGGGGAGAGATGCCCACGGGGCGCTGGGCTGCGCCGAGCCCCCGGGGGCGCTGGGGCGCCGGGCTGGGCCGGGCCGCCCG